CGGGGCTGTGTTCAGACGTTACATTGTCAGATATCACGAGTTAATCGGGGGGTGGGTGGCGCCCCTTGGTCAACTGTTGGGGACGGACGATGTCTGACTTTATTAACTCTCTTCATCGAACTCGCCCCAAAAGCCCGACCATTTAGACATTGGCAGGTCGTCCCAACGCCTGAATCATTTTCTACATGGTGCTTTTCCCCATAACGTTAGTGCATTGCTCATTGTTTTTAGGAGTTGTTAAATGACATGCCAATCATTCGTTTGAGTGAGTGAGTGAGTGCACCGCTATGATGGCTTCCGACCACGTACATGAACCGAACGGAATTATATACCATTACGGAAAAAGTAACAAGGTTGAATATCACATACTAATAGTTTCTACAGTTTGATAACTGCAGGCACTAAGCGTTATTCTGGTTATCCCAATTACAGGAAACAAGTTCTAAACATTTGAAACATAATATTATTCACGGTTGTTTCTGCTTACGCAGTGTCTTGTGATTTTATATATTTTACAAAGAGCTACTCTGTTTTTGAGTGTGTTAGATGTCCACATTGCCCAGGCACAGTCAGGTGGTTTCTTCAAGTGCCAGTTTCTTGCATGTACACAATGAAAGTAATAATAGTCCGTGTCGCCTTCCTCTCCGCATTCGCAGAAAGGAAAAGTAGTTCTGTTATTTTAATGCACCTTCCTTTTCCTCAGACGGAACTAAACTCACGCTGCACTGAAACCACAGATCTGGACACCTCAAAACGGAGCGCACAGAAAGCCTACACGGCACCATCTTGGAAAATGACACTACGTCTGCGCAGTAAACATGACAAGCAAAAGCAGATAGCACATGAGAAACTTGGACAGACATTTCTCATTATGTAGATTTTGCATGGGTAAGGTAATACATCAATTTTTTTCTAATTTTTAAATCCACACACTTCTTTTAATGACACCCTGTAATTGGGGTTATTCCTCTGTTTTGTAATTTTTTAAGTGTCATTATTGACCGTGATTAACCGTGGACCATTAAATTAGGAGTTGTCTGCATAATTGTGCAATAAGCAAGAGAGTATTTAAAACCTTCACTCAACAAAAAATTCATTCAACACTTTGAGATCCATTGATCTAGATCATATGTCTGATGATCTAGAATGTACTTTAATGCAGAAATTAATAGCCGAAAATTATCAAGGTTGGTAAAAACCAAACGTAGCGCGCACGCGCAGCCAGAAACACACTGTGTTTTGAAAAACCAAAATCTTCAATTCAAATACTAGCTAAATCATTTACATTCTGGTGCGGTATATGGAAAGATGCTATAGTGAAGATCCAAATCAAAATAACTGGTTAGTTTTACGCAAAAGCCCCTTTTTGTTGTGACTAATCTCACTTGTCTGGTGTAACCAAGCAAGTGAGTATTATAATCGTGGCAAACACTGCAAGATTGCGTCTGTCACTGGCCATAAGCATCATAGAAGAGACAGTCCGACTTTATGCTCAGTTTTGCCACAGTTTTGAAGGAGAGAACCAAGCTCGCGCCGACAATAGGTGCAAGGTCGTGCGGTGCACGACGGTGCCGATTCAAGAAGGCGCCTGGCGATAATTAAAACAAGAAGTTCGTCTCGCTGCCTGTCTGAACAGGAAAATTCTTGTCTTATTTGAACGTCCCTCCGGAAATCGACACAGGTAAAACCTGGGAAGTTACTGATTGGCAACTATACCTAGGCAGTCTCGGCCACGTGTGTTTAAAAGATAGAGATGGCGAATTCAGCGAGCCTTTAAACTGCTTGAAGTTTCCCAGTTGGCATCTGGAGCCTCAAAACAGCATATTCATATCCTTCCTTGGTTTCGCCTTGGAGGCGTCTAAAGCCGACATCTGTTTACCATGATGTAGTGTTAGCATGCCAGATTGGTGCCCCGGTCTTTTTGACGGTGCTTAAGTGACTTCGTTCTGCTCTCCGGGGCTAAGGCCCTTGTTGATGGCAGATGTTTTTACCGTCTCTCCAGAACGGGGACGTGGAATGTGAGTTGCTGAGTATTCCTGTCGACTCAGCTTTGTCTTAGCTCGTCGGCTAGACCGATTGGTTAGCGGCTTCTTGGATCTCCTCTAGGTGTTGGGGCGTTAACTGTGTTAAGGCAGCCTTGAGCTTGGCAGGTCTGAGTGCCCCTCCCTTCTAGCACACCGTCTTATTTGACCAAAAGTTATAACTAGCGCAGGAATTCGTCTCTGGTGTTCTTTTCTGTCTATTTGAACGTGAAATACTTGATGCCGATGGGTATGTAACGGTAAACGCTTTCGACAAATTGCTTAATCCTTATTTTGTGTCTACTGTTGCAATCGTAATTTGTAGTAATTTGTGCAACATCTTTTTTTGTGATTACTCGTTGTTATTGTTTTTCTACATAAAAAAGGTAAGTGCAGTTACATATTATGTTAAACTTAGGTTAACCTTTTAATTTGGAAAAGCAACGATTTGAGCATAATTATTCGAAAACTGTTTACCTCTCATGTTTGAACCATTGTCGTATTCTTGGCCGCGTAAGTTACTAATATATAAACCATTTTACTTTCTAAATTAGGATATCTCATACAAATTGTTATCTGCTCATGAAGGCTGGCATCAGGGGTATAATAAAGTAAAATAGAAAGATGCTTTGCCTGTTTGACCTTATTTACAATAATTTGCTTTATATTATCCCCTAATAATAATAATTGTTGAGTTTTATCTCCAAAGTAATGAAGCATATTTTTTTATTTTGAATTTTATTAATATATACAGATATGATAGAGTCAAATTTTGTGATCATTTCTATACACTTTTAAAAATTATTATTTCTTTCGAATAATTTGTTACTGGAAACACTGGAAGGCTAAGTTTTGTTTGGCTAAAAACTGAATGGCATAGATAATTCTTTCAATAACATCACGCGAATGCTTAGTCTCTTTTTTTAATAAGTTCTGAAATTCCGAATTAACAGGTTTATTCTTTCGTAATCGTTCTCAGAAATCGCATTAATGCTTTCGTTGTTTGACAAGATTCGACAAAAGTACATCTAAAACTATTTACGTTCATTTTTGTCTTTTGAAAAACTGAAACTCGAAACCAGGTTTTGTAAATATTCAGGACCATTTTCTATTAAGGCTTGAACTTGGGATGGCAATAATGGACTTGGGCACAGGCAAATGCGTATCTACTGTAGAAATTGTAGATTTCAATAGTATTTCTGCTGTTCTTTTCGACCGACTGTATTGAAGTTAAAGGTAATTTCCGGGTGAAAACACTTTCTAACTCTTTCTGATTATTAGATTCTTTTGGTAATTTCAGTGGTAGCTGAGACGTTTAATGGACAACTAGTGCTAGTAGCGTCAGCTTGGGTATTCTTTAGCTTTTGGAGAAACTGATTAATTTTAAAGTTAGGATTTATTAAGTCTTCCTCTCACTTTCCTTTTCATCATTACATTCTGATATTTAGACAATTTTTTCCGTATAGGTAAAAATCGGAAAATGGCCAGTTTTTGATTTCAGAATACATTGTATATTTTTCCTTCATTTCAAATCTCAAACAGGTATACTTTAAATTCAGTGGTACTCCGTAAATATGTCAATCCTTTCTTATCGAAAGATAATGATTTTTAGTTTAATAAACAAATGATTCATGTAAAAAAACATTTCTCGAGTAATTATGCTCAAGTCGTCGCTTTTCTAAATCAAAAAGCTAACCTAAGTTTAACATAATATGTTAAACTTAGGTTACTTTCTTTATGTAGAATAACAATAACAACAAGCAATCATCTGCACAAAATTACTACGATTGCAACTGTAGACACAAAATAACTACTAAGCAATTTGTCAAACGCGTCTACGGCGCCCCCTGTACCCTTACATAAGCATCGGCATCACGTATTTTCGTTCACCTATATTTAAAAGATCAGACCAACTTATATCAAAATGTGAAAAGCATTAATTGATAAAAATAAAAGCGATATAAATAGTATAGATCTTATGCATGAACTGCAGTTTTTGCAAACTTTTGGAGGTAATGTAGCATCGCCGGTTGAAACTCTACGCTATATCGTTGTCAACAACATAGCGGTGTGCAGAAAAGAATTTTGGATATATCCCTAGATATCAGCTCCAAAGCAATTTTTGTTCCCTGTTGTAATCACAGTTTGAACCTTCTCGTAAGCTATGCTGTGAACAACAATTTATTCAGTGCAAGCTTATTGGATATGTATATTAATTTTTTTTTAATTTTAAGATAAATGATAAATAGTCTTCAGCAATATATTTAATAACCAATGCGTTTATTTCGCTTCGCTTGCAGTATTATTTTTTATAACATATTTTTGTCGTTGTTAACTATTTCACTTGTCTGACCTATAGTCAGCCCAAGCCCACGAAATTCCTGGTGGCAAGGAGCGCAAGATACGCCTGTCGTTGGCAACAGCCTTGAGCACATTACAGGTGACAGTTCGATTTAGCTCAGTTTCGCGCCCAATTTTGATGGCGCTTCCAACCTTCTTTCCCTACCACCAACCTTTCGAGAGGACTTTCGCCTCGCATATTTAGAGTACCCCCATGCCGCACAGACACAGGCGACTCTTAGCTGTCCACAATGCTGGAATCTTGGATATGGTACAAACAAGAGGATGTCCACAAGGATCGTGCGCGGGGTCATACTTATGGAACATAATGTTTAATGAAGTACTCTCTGCAGCATGGCCTGCGCACACCAAATCTTCGCCTATGCTGACGACGCTGCAATGGTCGTCAAGGGACGGACTAGGGACGTTCTCCAGATAAATTGTAACGAAGTGTGTCAACTTTTTTATGTCAGGTGCACCAATCTTAAACTGCAAATAGCAGATCATAAATCTAAAATCCTCTTGATCCCTAAGAAAGGCGGATCACTTGCAAGACGCCCTACGATCAAACTAAATGGGCAGAGAATTAAAATTGTGAATACCTTGAAATATCATCTGGGTGTCACTTTTGATACTAAAATGACGTGGATCCCCCACATTCAAGATCTCGAGCTAAGAACCAGTGCTATCGTTAAGCAAATGCGCCAGTTTTATGGTTATAAGTGGGAACTCAATCCACACATACAAAAAGTGTTATATGCGATAGTAGTGGAAAAGATAGCTACATACGCAGCAGCAGTTCGGTGCCACCCAATGCAAGGCAGGATGTTTAAAAATCTTTATACCATACAACGGCCCTTCACATTGGGCTTTACAAGGGCCTACCGTACAACCTCATTGGATGCTCTTAATATATTAGCTGGTCTACTCCCACTACACATAAGAATTGAAGAAGAGGCGGCCCGACAGATTATACTGCAACTCAAAAAGCCAACTGTGTTTGACGAAGAATACTTCCATCCGGAAGAATATGAAGTCATTGATCGACCACTGCGTGTCCATCCAGCGAGCAAAGGCTCTGATGTCAAAGTCGCCATCAACCCGTCTACGACTAATTCCCCCACACTATTTAACATCTTCACCGACGGCTCCAAAATTGATGAAAAAGCGGGATGCTCATACATAGTCATGCGACATGATACAATTCAAGCAAGATGGAAGGCACAACTTCGGCAGTATAACAGTGTTTTTCAAGGAGAAGCGCTAGCAATTGCCCAAGCAGTTAACTTTTTCCTCTCCTCTAACATCCATAATGCCACCATCAAAACCGACAGTTTGTCGTCGTTGCATGCCATCATGAACCCCAACCATGTCAGTAAAATAATACAGGGCATTCAATCAAATCTGCGCCAATGCAACCTGCACATCAAGCTTGAATGGATCAAAGCACATGCGGGTCATCTCGGAAACGAGATGGCGGACCAACTTGCCAAAGAAGCGGCGTTAGGCCCGACAGATTTGCAGTTCAATATTCCATGGCTATTCACATTTCTAAAGAAGTCACTTCGACTTAAAGCCATTGGCAAGTGGCAACAAGAATGGGATGACAGTACCACTGGAAGACGTGTCCACTACCACATCAGCTATGTGGACACAGAACGGAACATTGCCAATTCACAGCTGGTTAGGTACATTTCGGGGACATGGACCTTTTCCTGTATACTTCTACCGATTTGGCATCTGTTCCTCAGATCAATGTACGTGTGGACACACAGGCTCCCCGGAGCACTACCTAACTTCTTGTCCACTCACAGAGGGACAACATGTTCCTATACCAACGACTAACAGACAGTCATTTTGTAAATTCCTTATTAAGCAGCGCCACTTAATCCAAAAAAATTGGACGTATGATGGATAAGCTGGCAGACCTAAACACAGACTTATGCCAAATATAGCAGTCCGCGCAGACCCTAAGCACACTTGCATATACTCAATGCAATATGAACTGCATAACGTTACAAGTTACTGTGAAATTTGTAATGAATGGACGCCTAAACTCTGCGTCTGATTTTGACACCCAATATGCAAACCACATAGGCACATGTAATGTAAAATTAAAACGCAATAGTATCTGTAAGTTTGTTCCAAATGTAATCTTGCAAATTGCAAACTGTGCGTATGTGTGTCTACAGTTCAAATGTATTGATGTAACTCCAACATAGTAAGCGAAGCTATAATGTAACCAGTGTTCAAGTCATTGATTTATATGTAACGTGTGCTTAATGTAAATATAGTGTCTAAACTATTGATTGTACTCAGTATATGTTTATTTATATTTATGATATTTATGTATGTTTTTTATATTTTAGCATGGTTTCTTCATATAACTGTCCAATTTTTTTATTGTACCGATTTTATGTAACATATGCTTACTGTACCCATGATATCAGGGACTGTATTCTGTATTGTAGCATGCTCCCCACATATGGTTATCCTATGCAATTTTGTGTAACTGTCTTCCATGCTTTACCCCTGTATGTAATATAACTATGTTCCATAGCATATTCTAACACGCACCTGTGAGGCGCAGTAAGTGAAGTTTTAACGCAACCAGAGTTTCAGTCCTTGATATATATATATATATAATGTCTGTTTAATGTAGACAAACTCAGTCATTGATTTTCATGTAATGTATGTGTAATGTATATATGATATCTGTGTTTGTATTTTATATTTAAGCATGTCTCTACATATGACTGTATTATGCATTAATATGTAACTGCATGTACATGGCTATGTACCATGGAATATTTTAACATGCTCCAGAGTAGCGTAATAAGTGAAGTTAATGCACCCAGCATCTGAGTCTTTGATATATGTCTGGTTAATGTAAACATAGTATCTCAGTCACTAATTTTTATGTAACATATGTTTAGTGTTTATATAATATTGTTTCCATAATCGTTATGTAACTCTCCACAAGTTTCATCCCTGCATGTAAATAACTATGTACATAGATTATTTTAACGTGCCCCTGTGTGGTGCAGTTAAGTGAAGATTTAATGCAACCAGTGCCTTCAGTTTTTGATATTTAGGCTACGCCTTTTTTAATGTAGATATAGTATTTTAGACATTTAATTTTCATGTAACGTGTATGTGTAATGTATCTAAGATGTTTCATGTAATGTATGTGTAATGTATCTATGATATCTGTGTTTGTATCTTATAGTTCAGCATGTCTCCACATATGATTGTCTTATGCATTATTATCTAACTGTTTTCTATGCCTTACTTACCCCTGCACGTATATAACCTTGTACCATAGAATACTTTAATATGTGCCTGTGTAGCGCAATAAGTAAAGCTTAATGCACAGCGAATGAGTCTGTGATATCTATACAATGTCTGTCCAATGTAAACATAGTATCCAAGTCACTAATGTTTAAGTAACAAAAGTTTAATACATTTATGATATTGTGTTAATAATTATTAAGTAACGTTTTCCATGTTTTACCCTTGCATGTAAATAATACCATAGAATATTTTAACGCGCCCCTGTGTGGAGTAGTGAGTGAAATTTTAATGCAACTAGTGCCTCAGTCCTTGATATTTAGGTAATGTTTGATTAATGTAGGTATAGTAGTATGTTAGTTATTGATTTTCATGTAACGTATGTGTAATATATCTATGATATCTGTGCTGGTATTTTAAATTTCAGCATGTCTCCACATATAATTGTTTTATGCATTATCATCTTACTGTTTCCATATCCTACCCTGCCACATATAATTGCTGTTATATTTATGCATTATCATCTTACTGTTTCCATATCCTACCTTTGCATGTATATAACCTTGTACCGTAGAATATTTTATCTTACGCCAGTCAGGCGCAATAAGTGAAATCTAATGCACCTAGCGTCCGAGTCCTTGATATTTATGTAACTGAATTAAGACCCAACTTAAGACTGTAGTGGGCTCAAATGTGAGAAACGCAAATATTTACATGCAATGTAAGAACGATATGCAATAATGCCCCTCAATACTCTCTAATTAAGTAATTCAAATTAAGTAATTTGTGTCCATTGAATGTAATAATGTAATACTATATAATGTAATGATGATCAATGTAAGTGTAATGTATATATAATGTATGTACAATGTACGTAAAATGTATAATGTATGCCATTGGTACGTAGCAATAGTTTGTCAACAATATGTAATAATGCCATTATCAATATTGCCTTAGACTTTCCCAGCTTCCAAATGCAGTGATGACCCTTGTTAGGCCATGTAATTTTCTATACATACAACAACAAATACAGAGGCTCGGTCAAGCGGATGGGAGAATATCCTTAGAGGGCGCTTTTGGTCAGTTTGGACCGTCCTCGGGATACACCGGGCGCTGGGTTTCGGCGCCCCGTGCGAGACCCTCGTGTGGCCCTCAAATTCGACTATAGATACTTTTGGACGTGGCGCTACACCAATTAACCATATGGTAAAGGGGTGGTGACCACGTCCTTCGTCGCATGTCGCATGCCGCACAGACACTATATATTTACAAACTTACATGTTTTCTCAGGGATTCGAGCCCGGGTCCTTCGGCACAGCAGTCAGCAACGGCACAGCAGTCAGCTAAACACTATACCGGTTGAGTGGCTTTTTATAACATAAATGTATGTATAGTTCTTCAATAAATAAGTCTTGCGTGTGGGTTTTAACAAAGCACAAAATGTTTGCATATTTAAACAAAAGATAAAATATAATTTTTTTGGTTTTTCATAATATTATTTTAATAATGCTTCATTTTAAATGTTAACCAAAAGCAATGTCCCTTTAATATCGTCACTACATAAAGGCGCTCGCTAGACATTTGCACGACGGCGCTGATTAGGCTTGGCGCGGGCCTGGAGAGAAAACCAGGCAGCGTATTCGAAGGTCTCTCACCTCTGTTCCCCTATCCCCAACCTCTTAAGACGACTCTAGGCTCGCCTCATATTTTGAGTATTCCTAATGCCGCACAGACACATACATTAACAAACATCCATGCCGCGTCGCTAACCACTTTCCCGTCTGGATGGCTGTAATAAGCTTACAAAATATCAAAAACAAAAACCAATAAATAAACCTAAAATAATAATAAAAAGAAATTATAGCTTATTGGGTACAGCTCATCGCATTTTAGTAATACCTGTTTCTCTCAAACTTGAATTAATATTAAATTATAACGAAACTGTGATTCGAGCTCGTCGAATTTCAAAGTATTGAGTGTGAAGTATGAATAGAATTTGGAATATTTAGATGTAAAATACTCTTATCGACGAACAAATAAAAATATGCAAAATTCTAAACCCCTCTGTTTAAAGTTTATTTAATTATAGAAGCGTTACGAAACTATTTAATTGCACTGAAAATAAAATTCCCATAGCGGGATACTACTGAACTATTTCTGTATAGCTATTTAACTTTAAGCCTTGAGGTAAGTTAATAAAACTTCTTTCATTGCATTTTCGTTTAATTCCTTTACTTTAATAAACGCGATGAAATATCGGTGCATCGAAATAAGCTGCATGTATTAAAATACCTCAAAGGAAACACAATGACTAAAAAGTGGGAAAAAATTATTGTACAATTTACTTTTTTGCTCACACAGCTGGTGCCTGATTCCGTAGATCCATTTTCTTTGCTGAAATTGCCAACGGTAGGATATTGAGAAATGCCAACGACTACTGGGTGAAATAACTTCTCAAAGCGTGTCGAAACGATGAGCTTAGGGCTTCCAGAAAGTAGCAGAGAATGGCAGTGCTGACAGATTTGGCTAGATATCGCCCACACGGTGATATTTGGCAACAAAATAGATGGAGCCAGAAGATTCTAGAGCGCATTTTTAACAGTTTTCTCGGGAATATTCTCGAAGGTAGGTTAAAGCTGCATACATGTACAGAAAAAATAGTAGTACTTTCAGTTCAGAGATTAGCTTCAGAGCGATCGACGGAGTCGACATCTGTATTTTAGTGTTTTGCCGTGAAGCTGTCTTCACCGTTATAGCCTGAAGGCTATGTTGCTGATTGTTTCAGCGTGTTTGTCGCAGTTTCTCGACGAGTGGAAACGTGTCTTTGGGACATATCCTGTGTAATAGTACTAAATGGCTAGTAAATTGTGTTTTGTTCTTCGTTTGTGTTTGGTGTCATCATTAATTACTCCAAATCCATAAACCCATAGAACGCCACAATATTGTGGCATTTTAGCCTTTGTGTTTGCTCGATCATACAAGACTACACGTAGCGAATTCACTTTTAATCAAATGATGTGACAGCTCACATAATAAACAAGTCTACGGCAATTTAGCTTGAAAGATTTCAAAGAAAATATATTGGTTTCATTTTGCTTGAAATATCCTAAATTTTTCTTATTTATGAATACCAGGCGGTTTGCAAGCAGACCATCTGCCTTCTGGGTTCCCGATACTTTTCCCTGAGTGCAAAGCATAAATCGAGATGAGCTCCATTCATTGATTGCCTTGCTTTATAAAAAGAACAAACGAAAGATATTTTCAGTGTAATATGAAACATATGGACCCAAGACAGTCATACCTTGCTATAGGACATGAAATGCTGCAAAGGACAAATTGCGAAAAAGGCTTAGAAAAGGAAAACTTTTGATCATGAAAGTACACCCAGGCCTTTCCCGAAAGCCCGTTTTTGATTAAAGACACGTATTGTTTCTCAGAATCGGCACTTATTTGAAAAGAAGTAAAGTGATAAATTAAAGGATTTTCTTTTTCTTGGACTGCGCCAGCATCTTTCTTAGCTAGTTATTTGCGTTCTCAGTCCCATCTAAGTAACA